TAAACAAATAATGTGTTCAAGTAGATATAGATTTTATTGTCATCGATAATAAAAGAGAAAATTCGTGAAGCATCAGTCCCAGGTAAATTGATACTGTGGCTTAGGTACAACCTTCGAATGTGTGATGCCGTAAAAGACGAGTGAAATATCCACTTAAGTATGGGCATCAGAGATTCTCTGACTATTTTATCAGCGTACTGCGGTCGCCAATCCGATTTTGCTGGTGGCAGGGCGTATTGTAAGTCCACACGAATAAGTATCCGGCGAGTTTCTGCAGCTATGCAATCACGCATTTCTATTTAAAAAATAGAACAGACCCTCTGAGTTTCTCGCCGTCACCTCTCAGTGAGTCGCGATTCCGATCTGGTTGTAGATTAAGCGAAGCATTGCTCTTGCTAGGATAGATGTTAGCAAGTCCCCGCAAATTTAACCAACCAATTTAAGTTTTACCCAACCGCGTGTAGTTGGAATAGCCCTTTAAACTACTAACGTCTATATAGGCAATAAAATGTACTGTAAAACTTAGCCTTCAAACTCACGTCTCAAGGTGAGTGGTGACATTTACGTTGTTGATATCTGTGGGGTCCAGTAATGTGCTGCGAAGACTTGCGTAGGTTGGCCAGCAATAAACAGACTAGAGGAACCGAAGACCGCGCTTAGTGGTGTAAATTGGAAGAGACCTGTATTCAACAGTGAACGACTGTGGGCTGTTATGATTGTGATAAAAAACGAATTAATCTGTATAAGTGTTATCCTCCTTAATAACATACCGGTATGCTTTATATGCTGAACTCAGCATCAAGCAGTGACTATCCTCCATCGTTCAGGGTCGCATTCTTACTTTCCTCGGACATGTGTCACGACGGGCTGACGACTTAGTTGAGCGCCTTGTGGTGCATGGCATGAGATAGAGGGTACAAGACCGCGCAGCAGATCACGGTTACGATGGACCGACCAAATAAAGGCAGCTTTAAGTGGTCCCGTTAACGGGTGCACAAGGGCCGTAGTACGCGAGGAATGGCGAATGTCTAGTGAAGCGCAACACCACCCGCAATGATGACCACGACTACTCTGAGACGAGTGATTACGACTGAGAAGATGTTTTATATTATTTAAGTGTAAGGTCTTCGCCCCTAACATCGATTAATATGCAAACATAGCCATAGACATTTCGATCCGCAATCACAAACAAAAAGGTTTTTTATTTTACACCTACAATGAAACTATGATTAATAGTTATTTCAATGTGTTGAAGCGCTTAATCACTGCGCGAACCCGAGGTCAAAGAGGTATCATTTTCAATTCGACGTACAGATGTTATCACGTGCGATCATCTCTCGCCGAATGCTCCATGGAATTCTGACGCTGCCATTAAAAAAATTGATTTAAAATTTCTCAAAACAAAAATTTTTATGTATCGTTATTTAAGGTCAAGAGAGGACGTGATCACGGCGATGCGGATAAAAGTTATTTATTTGCGTGGGGCGCTGCAATTAGTGGGGCGGAGCGCGTCTGAACTCACGACCTCTCGACCCACGATTCGCGCCGCCCTTGGACACTCCGCCTGTCGCCTTCGACTTAACTGCTACGAAAGAATTTGGAAATTCTTTCCTCCTAGCAATCTCTCAATATAAATCACATTGAAATATCTAACGATCAATAAAGTTGAGACACGATGCAATTAGGGCTCTTAAATGTTTTCACGAACAGAGCATCCATGACGACAAAACAGATGCATGCATTTCATAGTTTGGTATTGTATATAAAATACTATTGCCTTTCTAGTAGGTTCTCTACAACCTGTTCTGTAGGATGCATTGGATTTTACTTTTTTTCTTCTAAATAAGATGCTATTAACGATACACGATGCGCGTGCGCATCCACAACGAAATGTTGAGATGTGGGCGTTACTGTACTCCGTGCTCAGTGGTTCTTTTTTGATCATCACGAAGCTATAGGAACTGATGATATTTAAAAAAAAAACAAGTAAAATGTGTGGAATTCTGGAAAACTAGATACACAGCCAGGCCAGAGCGGCTAGACGGCACAGAACTTAAAGCGATGCGGCTTCTGCGAGTTCACCTCCTCGCAGATTATGGCGACGGAACGTAAGAGATAGTCTAGCAAAATTCAAAATTTTAATACAGGTGCGCCTACAAAATAGAGGGAAGTGAGCAAAGAAATTGTATATGAAAGAGAAGTATGGAAGGGGAAAACATGTTGCACCGACCCCAGGTGACTGGGAAAGGGGCAGGAGAATGATGATGTGCGCCTACAAAATTTGTCGTTCAAATCAAATTACGATAGCCTCAGAATTGAATTAATATAATTTAAATACAATTAATGTGTGCTTGATAAAAATAAGATTCGCAAATAAATACTATAACCTATATATTAGAAAGCGTGACACAAAGCGGAAAGAGCACTTACTATCTTTTAGTTTCTTGAAAATACTCTTCATAATGTATTCCCAGGCAGGTGTACTGTGGCACGCGCGCGTTACTATTGCTCCACAGAGGTGAGCCGGCGTCATGGTTGGCTGACCAGAGTCACAAGGTGGATAACACCGTGAGTAGTATACCTTACCTTACTGAACGTCGCTGTGATGATTCAACAAAGAATCGAACTTAGCCGACCGAAAAAGTATTGGTTCGGTTATGAGTTTGGCAAACTAATTCGATACCGTTTATAAATGACTATTTTGTTGATTTCCCGCTGTATCCTACAACAACATCGAAGACATTTTCACAGAAGTTCGATTAGCATACGGTGTACAATCTAGTACCTAGGTATTAATCTGCTCGAATGTCTATTTTCAACATAATGACAACGTTTTGCTGTGGTCTAACTAAGGTGTTGGAAGATTCGTTTGTAAACATTACCTAATAGAAATATCAGCCGAAGTCATAAGAGAGAACCTTTAACCTGCAAATTATACCAATATCTTATCCATATTAACGTTAGTGTATGTGTAGGAAGCATGCTCGGCAAAGCGTATCGCAGTAACGCGTGCGATATGCGCTACAGACTTCACAACGACTTATTTTAGAAATCTTCTCTCTTTGAAATTTTCATTTATGTTCTTTTCCTGTTTACTGTTGTCAGAATTTGAAAATATACTCTATTATTCGATTTAGTATTGATTGTTTAATCTCAAAGCCTCCAAACATTTTTTGTGGCAAATGGAGAAAATCGTACGGTATTCCAAAACCACGGTGGCAGCAAAACGATCAAAGTGATACTGCACACCAGAACTTACAAAGCTGTTGTAATAAATGTAAATAGATATTTGTCAAGATACAAATAAAAGTAATCCCCATTGCGCCCAAGTAATGGATCTGTGTTTTTAAATTTTTTTGTTACTTTCAAAGACGGACAATTAGTATACGGCCGACCTCTTTAAATCTCGTTTGGAGAGGCATAAATAAATAGGTTACAAAAATGTTGCAAACAAAGATAATGATCCCTTATTTCGAGACACTTTCTGTTCCAGCTTCATCCAGCAGGCCTTGTAGACCTTATTCTGTAAAGTTAGTTTTAATAAAATGACATTCAGATTCTCAACCTTACGTTTTCTCTTATGTTACGTGTGTCGCAAAGGCGTCCGACACAAGAACAAGAACCCTCAGGGTCCAAATACGAAAATGATTTTCACAAGGATCCTGACGAACCGGGAATCGAGTCGGGGTTCGTGATTTAGATAGCAGGCAGCATGACTAACTAATCCACTGCGATTAGTGTTAGTTTAAATGGAATTGACCTATAAAAAGTGCCCCGCTGTTTTGCATGATAATGTATACACGAATATTCATATTGATTAAAATACAACCGACATTAAAATGACCCAGGACTTTTTTTTTAAGTTTTAAACGTGTGACCGAGCCCACAAATCACCTGGTGTAGTATGGAATGGGATCCGCTGGATGCAGGCAGAGTAGGACCGATTTTTTTTTTATTGCTTAGATGGGTGGACGAGCTCACAGCCCACCTGATGTTAAGTGGTTACTGGAGCCCATAGACATCTACAATGTAAATGCGCCACCCACCTTGAGATATAAGTTCTAAGGTCTCAGTATAGTTACAACGGCTACGCCACCCTTCAAACCGAAACGCATTACTGCTTCACGGCAGAAATAGGCGGGGTGGTGGTACCTACCCGTGCGGACTCACAAGAGGTTCTACCACCAGTGATTACCTAAATTATATTTTTGCGGGTTTGATTTTTATTACACGATGTTATTCCTTCACCGTGGAAGTCAATCGTGAACATTTGTTAAGTAGGTACGTATTTCATTACAAAAATTGGTACCCGCCTGCGGGATTCGAACACCAGTGCATCACTACATACAAATGCACCGGACGTCTTATCTTTTAGGCCACGACGACTTAAACCGATTTTTTTGGCGAGGCTTGGGGGACGCCTATATCCAGCAGTAGAAGTGCGTGGGCTGATGAATGTGTTTACCGGAGACAAAGACGACATGAGGTCGAATTTTTTTTTATTGCCCTTGTAGGCCGACGAGCATACTGCCCACCTGATGATGAGTGGTTACCGTCGATACATGAATTGTATTGTTTTACGTGTCCCATCCATATAATTGGAAAGCTTGACTATTTTGCGGCCGTGAACGCCGACGGGCGATCGTAGTACGCTGGTATAATACTTTGAGAATGCCTCTGGTCCGTATCCCGTAATCACTTCCGTGGGAAGAAATGAGGTGGAGCTATTTTAAGCTGGTACCACACACTTATGTACTTTATTTTATTTTTAGATCTTGATGCTCTAGACAAATTAGTATAAACAACTTAGAAGTCTTAGGATTATGGACTATTTGTGTGAATCGATTCAAATCTCTATATAGTAGCTAAATTGTAAAACGTCAATGTCAACCGTCACAATGTAATTGGATTAGTGTTTATTAAATCTGCCTTGAAATACTTAAAAGTATTTAAAAAAAAAACCCTCAGGATACGTATTGTACTTTGTGTAAATAAAAATAATGTCGTCCAATATAATGCTACCGGAATCCCCGGATCCCATTACACGATCAGAAACTGTAGCCTCAAAGATCAGCTTCAATGAACAGTCTTCATCTAGAACAAGCAAAGTTGCGTTTTCGTTCATGGAGAAAAGAGCAATGTATCGTGTTGTGGTTGACGGTGCCGATGTCACACCCGAAGACATTCTCGAGCCTGATTATGTAATGATGGTAGATACTTTTTCGCATGCTGCCTTTGAAAACAAACCCCGTTTTAAAAGTGAAACCGGGCTTAAAGCTACGTCTAAATCACGATCCGTTACGGAGGGTGCGATGACTGTTTTTGCAACGACAATCTCTCTTGACGACATTCATATCGATCACACGCTCAACACGAGCGAGGGTTTTATACCTGACGACGAAGTTCTCGAACAAGCGCCTTCAGCATTTTATCTCCCGAAAAGTAAACCAGTCATGTCTTATCCCCCTGAAATTTTCATTGTGCTTAAAGAGACAGAAACTTGTTATTTGTTCGAATTACCTAGTTTTGCTTTTGAGAAAGGTACTCCTGAAGCAGATAAGGTAGAAGAGGATAATGAGTTTTATCAATATATTACTGTTGGAAAAGGGAGAAACAGAAAAATGATTGTGGAGGAAACACAAACTGAAGAGTATATTGCACAGACACGACACACGCTCGCGTCGAGACCCCAAAGGAAAAATGCTATAGCATTCGCATCTTTATGGGACATGCACGATACCTACGCTAAACTTGCAAACGTGAAAAAAGTGGAAGAACCTGATGAAATGGTGCTCTATCAATCAGCAGCACCCAATTTACTCAGAAAGAAGAAACTAAATGTTTTTGACGCTTCCTTGAAAAAAGGAAAATGTTTTGAAGAACTAGCGTCGACATCAGAATTCCTAGATGCGGTTTTATTGGCTGAACGTGTATTATCGACACTAGAATATTCTGAAGCTCAGAAGAAATACCGTGGCTTGGTTCGTATAAATCCACTCTCGTTAGATTTAGTGTATATTTACACAATGAAACCTTTATGGACTTTTGAATGTGAAGATACCATAAACCGCCCCATAACTGGAATCTCATTTAATCCGAAGAATGAGAATATATTAGCAGTCGCTCACGGGAAATTCCGGTATGCTGAATGCTATAACGGCTTGGTCTGTATTTGGTGTACAAAAAACCCACTAAAACCCGAAAGAGTTTACCAATTCGAAGATCCATTAACATCATTGGCATTTGCCGAAAAAAACCCTAACTGGCTAGCTTGCGGTTTTGCTAACGGTGACGTATTGATTTTGGACATCACTTCATACACCACAAAAAGCATAGCGAAAAGTAAACGCGACACAAATCCCTGTTTTGAACCAATCTGGGTGACAAGTTGGCGATCAATTGATAAGGATAATGAATTCGTTATGACTTCATGTCAAGACGGAAGGATCAACAAATTTACTAACACTAAGACCCACGATTTTATATGTTCACCCATGATGAGAATATCAACCGTCGAAGGTAAGATGAAAGGGCTGGAAGCAACGAAAGCATGTTTGAAAGTAGACGTTCCTATAACGCGCTACCCAGCAGCGTTATGCATAAAATGGCACCCGAACGTTGAGCACGTGTATCTAGTTGGTACTGATGAAGGATGTATTCACAAATGTTCTACTCATTATCTGAATCAACACATCGAGGTCTTCAAAGCACACGCAGGTCCTGTTTACGGCATGGAGTACTCCCCTTTTATGAGTTCGTTGTTGGTGTCTTGCGGCGCAGACGGCGCTATAAGATTGTGGATAGAAGGCATGGATGACGTCATTATGACGTTAACATGTCCCGCTGCAGTATACGGTATCGCATTCTGTCCAATCAACTCCACGGTGATTTTATCGGTAAGCGGAAATATACTTTCCATTTGGGATCTGCGAAGGAAAACTCATATGCCGTGTGCGGAATACTCTTTTCCTAATAACGTTGTTCTGACGTACATTAAATTTGCCGCTTCGGGAGATAATGTCTTCGTTGGTGAGACGTCTGGACGCATTCATACATTCCATTTGGAAGACACTCCGATACCACCGTTTTACCAAAGAAAGATGTTAGACGAGGCGATTAAAAAAGCACTGTGCACGAGACCACAGCTCTTGAAGCAACTCGAAAAATTGGAAAAATTTAGAGAGAAGTATGCGAAATAATTAACGAAATCATTTTGAATAAAATTTGTACATGTGATATTATAAGTAGCAATCATGAAGCTATTAAAATTATTTTATTACTAGCTGTTACCGTCCGCTTCGCTGGGCATTTAAAATTAACATTATTATTTCTCACCCCCACAAAGACTCTCATCATTAACGCCCCCGCAACTGGTGTAGGGAGTCCAACACTCATATAAATATTAGCCTATCCATTAAGTACATGTATTTTCTACATGGATACCAAGTTTCAATTCAATCGGATGCTTGGTTCAGTAGTTATAACGGAACATCCGTAAAAAGCAGTGTAGATTTATATATTAGTATAGGTGTTTTTTAAATCTAAAGCTCATTCTTGTTTATACCACAATTAAATTACAAGAGAATATACCTATCTATCAAAATCACCAACTTAGCTTACACTGCTGGACATCACTTTAATATATTAGTTACTGCGCTGACGTCATCGGTTTTGCCACAACCTTATACACCGTCTGTAACCAACGTTCACAAGTTCATGTTCAATTCTATGGTTGTAATAATAATTATACCCAAATCACATTTTCATTTTTTGCGTTTGTGAATCTGTTCACGAATGAGTGCCGATTTTAATGAATCTATTGATTTTTAAATTGTTATTAATAGATAAATATACTTGATTTGTAGTATAAAATATTGAAATTTGGTATATTTCCAATCTGGCAACAATGGCTAGGCCATATTTTTCACAACCAACTCGAACTGTGAGTAAATACAATTAAGTATGGCACGTTCGCATCAAATAACACTTATGCTGTTTTTTTTTCCAATTTATTTCGTCTAGTTTCTTCAATACAGTATGAAGTTATCATTAAAGAAAGTAGATAGCGCTTATATAAGATCTAGGATCTTCTTATCGTGATCTTCTTGTGAATACTGGTGGTAGGACCTCTTGTGAGTCTGCGCGGGTAGGTACCACCGCCTTGCCTATTTCTTCCGTGAAGCAGTAATGCGTTTCGGTTTGAAGGGTGAGGCAACCGCTGTAACTATACTGAGATCTTAGAACTTATATCTCAAGGTGGGTGGCGCATGTACGTTGTAGATGTCTGTGGGCTCCGGTAACCACTTAACACCAGGTGGGCTGTGAGCTCGTCCACCCATCTAAGCAATAAAAAAAAAAGAATAGCCAAATTAAAAAGACTGCCAAACATGCTCTTATAGATTTTTTTTTTTTTTTATTGCTTTGATGCGTGGACGAACTCACAGCCCACATGGTGTTAAGTGGTCAAAATTAACAAATAATAAAAAAAAACATTGAAACATGAAGATTCTTAAAATTAGGAGACGCTTCGTGGGTTTCGCACGCTCCTGGAGGTCGGCGCGGCCCTAACTACAGGTATAATTGTAAACCAATAAAACACAAGTCCTGTTTTAGAATCATAATTTTTTTATGCACAGTATAATATTTATAAATAGTGATCGAAGCCTAGAATTAAATAATAATGTTTTAAGGGCTAAATAAGTTATCATTAAACGCTATACAATATAAATGTAACAATATACTAGATATAGTTATATCTGGAATGACTAGGATCTGCTCGAGAGCTTCTGTAATTTGTATTCCTTCTTCAATTCCTTTAGGTTTGCTTCTAAAATCGCCACCTGTTAATAATTTACAATTACTTACTCCCTTTCGACAGTAAAAGCAACTTTATAAGTGTAATGTGACCAGGAAAAGTTAAAATAAACAAAATCAAATTAGAAGGAAGAAAAATAAGATTCTAATATTATATGTATACCTATATCATAAAATATTGATATTATTAAAAGATGTACGTAATTTGTCCTGATTTGACGCTCTTTTATTAGTTTTCCTTTTTTTTCTACTTATGCTGAGGTTGAGGATTCAGCGGGGACGGTAATGGGAAGCTTTACTTGTATATGTCTGTGTAACGGAATCTTTCAAAGTGAATTTCACGAACTTCAAGACGTCCGATTAAATTGAAAATTTTGCACGATGTATCATCATCGATCCTTGACACTTGACATAATAATCTCATTACTTTAGCCTAATTTTCAGATCCGTATAAACAGGACAAAACAAGATAATAAATTGAATTTATAGTTTGGTTTGGCGACATTTTAAATAGTTTTCTGCTTACGAGAAGGCGGCTGTACGCCCGCAGTCTAAGCTGGTAATAAAAAGTTTAAATTTCGAACATGCGACATTTTAACTGTGTTTTGACTCTCAAAGAAATAATTAGGTGTCAAATAAACTAAACATATAATAGTGAATAATATAAATAAATCTTCTTCTTCTTCTTATCAGCCCACCACGGCTTACCAGCAGACTGCTGGACATAGGCCTCCCCTAAGCCTAGCCACAAAGACTGGTCCTGCGCTGCCTGCATCCATTAATCCCCGCGAACCTTAATAGGTCATATAATATGGCTTCGAAAAAGAATAACACCTCCCTTTCTCCTCCCGTGGATGCCGTAAGATGCGACTAAGGGATTATCCAGAGAATGGGTAGCAGCGTTCTCAGAGTATCATAACAGCATACTGCGATCGCCAGCTCGTATGCCAAGCGTGGTGATTATGACAACCCCCCAACATGCCCGACGCAAATAAAAACCCAGCACCCGGCAGCTCCACTATTCCTGGCTACGTATATAAATAAATAGATTATAGTTATTTACAAGACCCACCTCTTCAAATCTCAGTTCCTGTCTCGCCTCTTTTATATACCCCCTGATGATATTCATCTGCTCTAGCAGCGGGTTGTCGTCGTCGTCATCGTGCTGGGCGCCGGCGGGGGTCGAGGCGGGGGGCGGGGCGGCGCCGGGCGCGCCCTCCCGCCGCTGCCGCTCGCGCTCCATGCGCTCCCGTTCCATTTGTATTTGTTTCTCGGCACGTTCGTAGCGCTGGCGACGCACCTCCTCGATCTGAGCTTCGGTCGGGAGCTTCCTTAAGGACAGTAAGTCTTCCTGTAATCAGAACGTTATTTGAAAATGAATGTCAAGGCAATAAACGTAGAAATCTATTTTCTTCTTTTTTTTTTCTCTTTATTATCCATAATCAGTATCGAGTACTTTTATTATTAGATGTGTTGAAATGTTTTTCGTAGTCAATAAGAACGTGACTCCAGCGAGCCATCTACTCTAAATTTCAGAAATACAAATTTGACAAGATTTCAGTCAAAAATGAGGAAAAAAAAGAATCATTTTATGGTTTTAATTCGTGTTAGGTACATGGAAAAATTAAGAATATTACCAGGATTTTGTTCTAAAAAAAATTTATTACAGCCAAGCCGATAGTTATGGAAGTAAGCAATACAAAATCGCTGTCTAAATCATGATTCAGACGTGACTACATTAGAAGTCTCTTAAAACTGGTTGAGGGTAAATATTCGAACAACAAAAAAATATTTTACAAAATATTTCATGATGTTAACATTCATCATCCAAGAAAGTAGTAATGTATGCAAACAAATTATGTCATCTAGCCCCAAACTATGATTCCCTCTTCTTTGGGAAGCAGAGGCTGATATACATACATCCATTTACCTAAATCCATTTAGATTTTAAACAGACCTGTTCATGACCCAAACATTTTCCCGATGGGGGAATTAAGCCGATGACCCTCGGTCAGCAGTGAGGCGTGCTAACTCTTGAGCACCACCGAGTGAGTCAAATAAAAAAAATAAAAAAAAAGAATTGCGTGGTTTTATGAAACCACAGTAAAAGTGAAACTTTTTTTCACATTAGACATTTAACTCTCACAAACTGACAAAAACAACAAACAAAATAGCGTGGAGCACAGGCACAAATGAGTAATAGTCTATACACTACACGGCCAGCTGCTGCGAACTATAGGCGCCGCCATATTGGCCTTGGCTTCTCTGACGAGCGCCTTTCACTTTATCCCTACTCCGCGGCCGACCGTCACGCGACATGCAACACACAGACGAAAAAGTTCGAGATGATGTAATAAAAGTTTCACTTAAAATACATATTTAAGCATTTTTATATAAAGTTTCACTTTAAGTAAATATATAAGTATTTTTATTTACCTTAATATAATGTCCTGCAGCTTGCCTTATAGCGTTCTGTAGCCTGGCTTGCCTTGTGCCAGGCTCTGCCGGGAAGCTGACTATCTGCTTACTCAGCAAGTCTATACCTTCAGCCAACTTCCCTATACGACCTCGCATTGCATTCACATCAGACATATTGTAGGTTGTTTCACCATCAAAGAGACTTTGACACATCTGTAATTCAGAATGTAATGTATGTAGAAACTGTTCTTAAGCTGTTGTTTTATTATTTTATTTAGTGAATTATGAACCTAAGCACATGCAATGATCTCCGAATGTTGGCCGGAAGAGGTGGATGAGGAGAGCCAAACACCGGGCTCAGTGGTATGGATAGGGAGATGTCCGACAGTGGATGACAATAGTGGCTGATGATGAATGAATGAATGAATGAACCTAAGCAAACTAGACGGGTAACATGTCAGCTCATTGTGTATCTATTTTAAGCCATCCGCACTTAGTAATACCCAAACTAATACATTACACAAGTAAAAACAATAATATTTGAATATAACAGTACCGTTTGAAAATAATCAATTTTTTACAAAATTGGTAAGAAGAAATGTACTTAATATGTAGTTACTGCTTTTTCTTCTTTTTTTATATTTTCTATTGACACTAAAAGACAAGTACTCACAAATTCTTATAAATACCTTTTCATACATAGCAACAGCTGGTTTGGCTTGCTCCATAAGGCTCCTCATCTCTTCATAGGCCGTTACGAGTTCAGTCTTTGTGTTTCTTGTTTCTTGCACTTGTTTCCGCAGTTTGATCAAATTGTAGCAATGTTCACAGAGACGTAATCCATTCTTCTCTGTTAGCTTTAGTTCTGGATTTGATACTGGTTTTGGAGCTGATGGATTTATAATAGTTTCTGAAATGTAAAATCATACACTCATTACAGGCAAGATAATCAGAGTTGTAATTCTGCACTGCAATAATACCAGATACTTTTCTTTATTTTTCTCTTATGTTTTAATGTCTCGTAGCGATCTGTTTTTCTTTAGTTAACAATGAGCTATTCCTCTGGCTGAATTTATTCTTAATAGATTTAAAAAAAAAAAAGAGTCATCAGATGTCCAGTGACACCTTCATCTTTTATTGTTAGATTTAATTTCTGTTCTGTAAGGTAGGTATACTGTGCCTCCTTAATCTAGTAAACTGCACTGCTCCTGTGTCTCCTAGGTCCGATGCCAATTTATTGACGTGTGTCGATAACCTGACTTGGTATTTTTTGCTGTAAGCTACTATTTCCTCTTTTACTGTGGGAATATTTAGGTCCATTTGTATGATCTTGTTGCTTATGTAATGCGGTATTCTTAGCATTGTTCTGAAAGTTTTATTTTGAAACCTTTTCAGGATCTCGACGTTGCTATTGCTGGCAGTTCCTCAAAGCTGATACCAGATACTAAACTAAAATATATATTATTTTGTTTTCCCTGTTCAATCAAGAGTTAGGTGCCTTTTTAGAATAATTGTAGAGTTGCATAAGGTCATTGCTTTTGATTAATTACTATATTATTAATATAATTAAATAATATTTAAAGTAATTTATGTGAAACTTACTAGCTACTTCAATATCTAGAAAAACAGAGCAGTCATGACATAGTATGGAGCCACATAGTCGACAATGATGTTGTCTGCGTGTCAAGTGAAAGGGTTTCGCACAGTTGGGACACAGATTAACTGATGAACCATCTAACCATGGCACAGCCTGGAAAAATACATATACAATAAAATGAGAAATTATTTCAACATTCCAATGGCATTTATATTATTTTAGTTAGTTAAATGTTACCACGTTCACTATTAAACATAATTATTTAATACATACATCTTGCTCATGAATTTTTCTTTGATGAGGATCACTTGGCATGTTACAAATGAGTTTATCCAACCGAATCAACAGCTTATTAGTCTCCGTAGCGTATCTTTCAAGCCTGGAAAACCTCACACCCTTAAAGTAATCGGTTGAACTACGTGATACTCCGATCACCTGCTCTTCATCATAATAATCTTGGTAATTAAACTTCAAAGCACGCGCGAATGTCTCTTTCAAATCAGCATTGTCATTATTCAGTATTATTGTCTTTGCTTTACCAAAAATGTCTTTTAATGATTTCAAAACATCTTGATCTTCTTGATGAAGACTTTCGAAATGATTCGTTAGTTGTGAGGCGGATTTGAGATCTGCTTTACATATGGGACACAAGAAGCCCTCAAGAATTTCATCGTCGTTGGCCGTTGCCATTATTAATATCACTTCTCACTAATTTAGCATTATAAATTAACTGCAATTATTAATCATCACCAAGGTGGACACTAGACATTATTCACACATTAATTGTGATTACTGTCAAGAGGAAGTAAGTGTCAAACGTCAGCTGAGCCATACATGTGCGTTTCAATAATTCAACACCACACTGTTTTTTTTATAGGCTTTATTAGATACACTCCAACAAATAAAAAAATGTCAGTGATCAGAAAAAATCGTAGAGGGGAGTCACTCGGAAGCCATGTTCGTCGCTTCTAGCTCTAACGCTAATAGTTTACCCTAGAGTTGAAATTCGGTGTTGAGGTTGCGAAACAGCTGCTCTCGAGCTATTAGGTTTCCTTCGGGGGCTATCGGTCAGTTATTAGTATATCCCACCGTTCCTGGCTGCCCGTGTACGCCCATCCGTCCTGAAGCCTTCGGGATACAAGCAATCCGTCCATCTACCCACCTCCAAAAATTAAGTAGTTCCACAAAGGAAATCTGGTTAGGTGCGGGCTATGAGGAAAAATGATGACGAAGAGTTTATTAGAACATTCCTCAGTGACCATGCGGTATAAAACACAAGGGCCTGATCTGAGCGGCCCTTCCTGTACGGAGTCACGGGGCCAGAGAATCAGGAATCCGGTCACCGTCCTAGTCGAAACCGTGGAAGGGCTCGACGAGTGAATTAACGTCATAGACAGAGCCCAGAGTTTCTCGCCGGATCACGTTTCCGATCCGATGGTAGATTCCGCGAAGCGCTGCTCTTGCTAGGACCAGTGTTAGCAACACTCCCGGTTTGAGCCCCGTGAGCTCATCTACACGTCAAGGAGAAGCTGAAATAGCCTCTCAGGGCTATCAGCATAGTTAGGACAAAAAAAAAAGAATCAGAGAAGGCAGCAGTACTCACTCAATGCCGACTCTATACTCTGTAGAGCACAAGACACTAAAGACGTAAAGTACCGTTTCGCTCTCTTGAGAACTTTGACAAATTTTAGAGGTTTTTAATGTAAGCACTTTAGATGTATTATTATGATATATTATTCTATTCACGTCTATATAAAAATACTGTAAATCCATCGAATTTGAACTGATTAGATGAACGAATCAATCATTGCAGCTTTATCTTTATTTTTGCCGCTGCCTCTATAAACATGTTTAATTTTTTGTATTTTTTTTTGGAATTTGGAAAATTAGGCCTGGGCAACGATGAATGAACAAGTAGTAGAGTTAACATTGTTATTCATATTTTGACATTCAACAAGTGTGTTATACTGACAACTGTTATACAACGGCCGTCTGGTGTAGTGGTAAGTGACATGGTCACTACACAAGGGGGTCGCGGGTTCGAAACCTGCCACGGGAGGATATTTGTATGGTAAATATAAAATGTCTTTTCCAGGGTTATGGATGTTTATTAAATATATGTATGTGTATAATAAAAATCTTAAATTTATTTCCGTTATCTGGTACCTGTTATACAAGTTCTTTACGAACTTAGCACGGGACCAGTTAACGTGGCGTGATTGTTAGTAAATATTTATTTATTTATTTTATTACTGACATCTAAGTTGAAATAAATTACTTTTAATTTTGAATTGAATTTGAGTTAATTGGGTGGGAACACTTGTACGTCTAGGGATTCACAGGGTGTGTTAGAACCAGATGTTAGTACGCGATAAAAAAAATTTACTTTATGTAATTAAAATTAAATTGAGACGTGTGTTTCAGTCCTGGGAACAGACGGTGGGGATTTATCCGCCAGCTAGCTTAGCATTACATTACGTATTTACGTTCAATAAATGAACATTTGTTTATGTTAAGTTTGTCGCTCATTGCGTATTTGGGAAGAGTCGTCCGACACCGTGTACAACAGAAACTACAGTTCACATAACAGATTTTATATATTCAGTGACAACATTGAAGGTTTCTCTCAGCTCCGCGAGCGTGTCTTGTGTTTCTGGCCAGTTATGTTTCTCGGCAGCCCTGAGCACCGCTTGCCCCGTCAGCCGAGCCGACGACAGCTGCTGGTCGGCTTGGAGCCGGTCCTTGTCCTCGCATTCCTGTCTCGCCTTTAAACTCGTTTCGAGGACAGATAACGCTAGGTCGATAACCTTTTTACAAGCCTCTGGGTCGCTGGGCCAGTTGCCGTTCTAGTCAACAATCATTAAAAAGAAATATTACTATTACAAAATTGCAACAGAACTGTATATCTCTCTGTATATATAACTATATATAAACATTGAAATTTTGTTTATGTATATTCGCTAAGGTCTTAAACTCGAAATAGTAATTTAAATATGTATCTCTTGGATCGATAATGGCGTAAAAACAACATGACTAAATGTAATAAAATTTTATTATAAAAATTAAAAATGTTATCTTTAAAAACTGGTGTCTACATACAAACTAGACACGCCAGCGGTTTCATCCGCTATAAATTATCTAATGTAGAAGAATTAAATACGCTACATTTTCTAGAGATAAAGAGTTTAATTTATTTTACTCTGATTTGTAAACTACCATAGCAACGACTGTCATTACAGTCGTCGTCTTCATGGTCTAAAGGATAAGACGCCCGGTTATTTGGATCGAGCGACGCAACTGTGCCGGTGTTCAAATCCGGCAGCCAGGTATATTTTTTTATAATTGAACAGGCATTTAAATTGTTTTCTCGACCGACTATCCCAATAAAGGAATATGACGTCGTATAATAATTTAAAATTTGTTTTTTTTATTATCATTATTACCTGTGTGTACGCCCGGTACGCTTTCATGAGTCTTTGTGCCTTCAACAAAAACGTGGGACTAATATCGGAATACAGTATCCATATGTCAGGTTTATTGTGATGCACAGCAGTTATCCTCCCGAATAACTCGAGTACTCTTTTCCTTAACCTAAAAAAATAGCGTATTGTATGAACTAAAATCAATATTCTTCTAGGGCTTTTATTCGGTAATCATTAATGAAATCGAGATTAACAAAAACCATTTTTGTAGATTAATTTTAAAAAATTAAAACTGCGACACTATAGTAGAATTGTTTTGTCCGTGCAGTTTGGGTCATAAAAAATCGGAGCGGTGAAGCGAGTATTTTGCTCTCTCTTCCACTCACGAGCCTTATGGACGGGCATAGTGATGCGCATTATTGTTGTCGATAGTGTATTTAATTTTGTCATTTTGTGGGTTAGTGATAAAAATCAAAGAAAAAATCACTAACACCACATATCGCCGCAGCAAGTTAACGAGAACGGCAGAAATGAAGACTTTGTAACTTTTCGGGAACTATTCTTATTTCAGTGAAAAAATTTAACACATTGTTGATAACAACACGTGCAAATATTATTTTGAACAAATTCTGCCGTTTTGATACAAAACAAAGGAGTAGCCACCGTGTCACTAAAGAAATTCAGAGAACGAATGCATATAAGCACATTTCTCTTCGACATAATGTACCATAATTTGCAGGTGAGTACAAATGACTCATGACATAACAACGTCTCACCACCCTTCGTATACCGCCGCGCCGCCTTGTACCTACCTCCGATGACTCATTTGTTTTTATCGATAATGGCGTTGTGCTCGCGCAACATGCTCACCACCCTAGCTGGGCTATGTTTTATGACCCAAACTGCACGGACAAAATAATTCTACTATAGGCTAATTTATTATAATAGAGAGACTTGTCATGTCAATTTCCACGAATTTGGTAGAATTTAATCTCACCTGGCAGCACCATTTCCGTCGGCGTCTTTGGTATCATTTAAAATGGCCCGAACCAACAATGTCAGTACTTCTACATCTTCAAATTTATTCTGTAAATCCAAAAGTCTGTGACAGCCGCGAATAACGTCCTCAAAGTGTAGGGTGTCCATACTCACAATAATTACATTATCCCACAGCTAAAAAATGATAATGAAATTCTTTAATAAAAATAAATTATTAAAAAATATCTATAAATAGATAACTTAAATAAACAAAACCAATAAGCTAAACTAATAACTAAATTAATAATAAATAAAATTTCAACAATTCGTTTACATAGCTTCATTTGAGCTCGAACAGTAATGCCCCGTCAAATGATTTATTTTACTGCTTCGCCACAGAACTGTCTTTTTTTTTATTGTCCTTGTAGGCAGACGAACATACGGCCCACCTTATGGTGAGTGGTTACCGTCGCCCATGGACTTCAGCAATGCCAGGGGCAGAGCCTGCTGCCTGTCACACTTACTATACTACTAATGTGTGATTATAGTATTATGTTTAATTAATACTAAAAAAAGAAATCACTTTAGAAGCTCGTAAATAAATATTCTACCTTCCAGTTGTCGTAATTGAATCTGAGAGCTTCCATGAGGGCTCTGTACGCTCGATACTTGTCTCCCTGTTTCACGTAGACTTTGGCGAGGTTATTCCAAGCCTCGAACGAGTTAGGGTTGAGGTAGGTGTATCGACGGTACGCCCTCGCCGACAGCTCCCAGTTCTCTGTCGTTAGCGCTGCGTAACTAGAGATTCAACATAAATGTGTGTTGTGAGTTCTTATCTTGATTGATACTTCTGCAGTAGTCACTATAAAAACTTACGTTACGTCTAGGGTTGCCACCCGTACTTTATAATAAAGTTTTGTACGTTATTTCAGCTAATTGTCCTCTATACTTTATATGAACAATAAATTACTCGAAAATACTTTAATTTGGCATGATTTGGTTTCTTTAGGATTTTGAAAAGTTTAGTCATATGTATTTTTTCGTTAAGCGAACTATGTACATGGATTGCTCAATCGATGTCGCCACTCGCGAACGCCACATCACCGCACTCGTTTTTTAACAAATTTCTGAACACAACTTAACCTCAAATGTCAACAATGTCACTGTCATTAATTGTCACAATTTCTTGTTTAATTTGTTCAATTCTAATAAAAATATGTTGTTTATTATGTTATTATGTATTATGTTTAAATCATAATAATAATAAAAAATAATTGTACTTTATTTTAATACTATGTAATTTTTTTCCCTACCTATAATAACTAATGTACTTTATCTGCACAAAAAAGGTGGCAACCCCGGTAACATTTTTGTCATAATTACATTTTTTTTTCTTTCTTATCAATTAATCTATGTGTGGTGACAATACCACCCGTGGCTTGGCACCGTCCCGAGCGATTCTCGTGCCAAATGTCAAACTACTGTATTCTAAATGATTCTACAAATCAATTAATGAAGTACATATTGTGCTCATGAGTAATCATAGCTTATTAGCTTGATCACATTGTTGGTGGCACACTAACGATATCAATGAACCCAAACGAAATTTAATATCTAGTCCACTTAAGCTTAAAGCTTATAATAAAATGAATTATATTCAATTAAACAACATTTAGTATTGTCTTATCATCTTCTTCTCAGTGGTAGACATATGACTCTCTATAGTCTGTAGAGACTGTCTCTTATCATACGCTTATAATTAGAATATAATACGATGTTCAAGTTCGTTTAAAATTATTATTCTTTAGATTATATTAATATTGTTTTTCCATACCCCAATCTCAACCAAACGCTTTCTTGTATGGAATTAATTTCGACCGACTTTTCGTAATGCGGTATGCATTCTTCATACTTCTTGTGATCGAACAGAAAATTTCCCCAGTGGCGCTGTGCTCGGCTACTTTTATGATCAGAAAATTTCCAGGCTTTTTCGTAACATTTAATGTCGTCTGAAAAATACAGTGATCATGAAAATTGTTGAATCCTAATTATTGCTGGCTTGATGGACAGGAATGTCGTTGTTCCATGGCGATTCAAACTGTGACCTCAGCCTAGAGTATTCACTTGTCTATGGGCTGTCAACTCCTTTGCCAGTCAAGGAAAATAATAATTCTTTAATATCTTTCTCCGTATGGCCGAATGTAGATATTACCTGTAGCATCGCCCAGCAAACAGTACAGCTTGACTGTCGGATTTGCGTCAATCTGTTGTTGTATAACTTCTGCTGCCTGTAAAAAAAAACATTTTGTTTTTTATCACACACTAGCTGACCCGGCAGACTTCGTAGTGCCTCAATCGATAAATAAAAGACCTAAATTTTTGTATAAAATAATCTTAAAACAAACAAAAGGAATCCGTTCGACGGTGGACACATCAAAGGAAAAACAAAATTGTTATTTTTATTTAATTCCGAGCATTTTCATATTTGTCTACCTTTTAAACCTTCTCTGGCACTTCCACAAATAACTCAAGATCAAAATTAGCCAAATCGGTCCAGCCGTTCTCGAGTTTTAGCGAGACTAACGAACAGCAATTCATTTTTATATATAGAGAAGAAGAAGATTATGACAAGACTGAAGCGACGTATCGATTAACAAATCGATTACAAAGATAGCGACGTGCACGAGACAGACCACACTGGAGGAGGGCGCAAACGATATTGCGAAACTCAGTTTACCTTCATTTGTACACCAAGAATGAGGATGATGTGTTCAGGGTAGTTTTTTTGGTTACTCCCGGGTTAAATAAATCATACATTTACAACAAACTAGGATTCCATACATGGTCGCTTTTAAATGTGTACACACAACTGGTGGTAAGACTGTCCGCACAGGTAGGTACCACCACCCCGCCTATTTCTGCCGTGAAGCAGTAATGCGTTTCGGTTTAAAGGGTGGGGTAGCCGTTGTAACTATACTGAGACCTTAGAACTTATATCTCAAAGTGGGTGGTGCGTTTACGTTGTAGATGTCTATGGGCTCCAGTAACCACTTAACACCAGGTGGGCTGTGAGCTCGACCATACATCTAAGCAATAAAAAAAAAAAACAAAGATATTGGATGGAAAATATCCAAAGCAAGGAAATCTACGAGCGTTTGCTCGAAGTAGGAATTGAACTCACGACCGTCAGCCAAACATCAGGAAGGCTAGCCATCGCGTTAACGAGTCAGAAAAGTCAATTAAACTACGAACATGGTTTAAAAAGACTGATTGTTTGTGATCAATTTTGTAATTTCATACCAATACAAAAATAGATTAAGAGGAATTTACAGCAAAGCCAGGAAAATACTAATAAAAAACCAAATTGAGGCATCAATGATCGAATCTGTGTTTGCAAGTTGACCTGGCCAAAAGGCTAAAACACCCAGTGTATCGGGCAAACAAATAATTTAAATCCACTAATGTAATATAATTAAGGATTTATAAGTTACTCTTATTTCTTGTTAAATACCTTATGCCTCAGTTGGAGTATAGTGTAACAAACTATAACATCTTCCCAAAGTTGTAGTTTCTGATACTCCTCGAGTGCTGCCTTCACGAGCCCCAGGCTCTGGTACAGGTCGGCCAGCTGCTGGCGCCACGTCCATGACGCGGGGAGACCGCTCGCCCAGAGATATGATAATCTGAAGTAAAATAATATGTAATGTATATATGGTACAGGACTATAGGATAAACCGCCCGGTGCACTCATATGAAGCTTTTTTTTTATTGCTTGGATGGGTGGACCAGCTCACAGCCCGCCTGGTGTTAAGTGGTTACTGGAGCCCATAGACATCTACAACGTAAATGCCGTCATCCACCTTGAGATATGAGTTCTAAGGTTTCAGTATAGTTACAACGGCTGCCCCACCCTTCAAACTAAAACGCATTATTGTTTCACAGCAGAAATAGGCAGGGTGGTGGTACCTACCCGTGCGGACTCACAAGCGGTCCTACCACCAGTTGACTATGCTCATGTTTAATTCCAATGAGATTTGTATCATTTTTTAAAGTGAAATACGTATAATACATGTTCACGTATATCTAAACATATAAATAAAATTGGAGTGTCTGTTTTTAATATTGAAATAGCCTCTTTTTACTACATGCATATGAATATATATACGGTACAGACACCAAATCTCTGGAACGGCTGGACCGATTTTGACGGGACTTTCACTGATAGGTAGCTGATGATATAAGGAGTAACTTAGGCAACTTTTTTTAGGCTAGCTTCGCCCCGCGGCTTCACCCGCGCTACGACAATAACCACGGGTAGCATCGCGGGACTCAGCTATCAATAATAAAATTTAATGTTTCCGAGGCGAAGCGAGGACGGGTCGCTAGTCTCCCATAGTGAAGGGAGGAATAATCGTGTTCGTGAAAAACCTTTCGATTCGTTTGTAGCCACTTCATACAATGCATACAAAAGTTCATCTTACCTCGTGGTACCCAAAACGTTTGTCTTTTCATTAACGATTGTTTCGCATTGTAGCATGGCTCGTTCTACTGTGCGTTTGTGATTAGCTTCTATTTTACATCTGATGAGCAATGCTGCCACCCGCGTCGACCAGGGACCTCGCCTTTGAGACAGTACAGCCTCTATATACGGTTGCAATTCTTCTTTCATTAAATCGTCTTTGGGTTGGGATTTTTGTATGTACTGGCTGAAAAATTGTACATAAGTATGTAACTTCAACATAATGAAATGACAAGGGGAAGATCTTCTGTCGATGGTCCGAATGTTGTTCTTCGAAACTTTTATAGTTACAAGCTTTTTTGCAAAATATTTTCAATTTGAAAATAATGTCAAAACACTGGAAAGTATTGTGTTAAATACTTGTCATCCTATTAGACATAATGTACATTCTTATTTTGATTCTTTGTCGAGTTAATATGGTGCATTTCTAACTCATGACGTCTTTGTAATCTCTGAAGAATTATGTATCTAACTAATGTTTTCAAATGTACGCTATTTTTCTAAGCTAAAGATTGACTTATGTCACTTGATTAGGATAGACAATAATGCTGCTTGCCTCAAAACAAAGAAAGGAATTATCAATAGTACAACAGCATTAATAGCAGCAGTACATAAATCATAATCAATGCAACAACATTGTACAGTAAAATAGGACACAGACATTTTTTGCATCTACATTTACACTACCCAGCGTCCTAATACTGTTATGAGGTAGTCTTGGGTACTGTTTATGTTCATCGAATTTAAAAATCTACTATTTCAACATTTAATATTATAGTCTTTATAATTTCTGTATTATCTTATATGTGTATGGATATAAATAAATATGTATGCAAATTACTAACACAGTCAGCAAACACAATGTTTGCTCCAAACTAGGCAACTGAGTTTGCGTGATCTTCTCCAAGTATTGAATCTTATCAAGTCTGACATCATCTTGGAGTTCAATATCAGTTGGCAAGTCTGCAGTACCATGACTCTCTTCAGCTGAGGGACGTTCAACAGTAGAATCCAGATCACTAGTTAATGCCAATTGAGGTAATGCATTCTGTTGATATTTTGTTCTTTTGCCGAGTATCCCTAAAATAGATATGAACAATCAGATTCATTGACAGTGTGGTAATCAATGCACATTGCGTAGATAGGCTAATATAGGCCATCACAAAAAGGAAGGTCTGTAGTTATTATTAGATAGTTATTGATCAGGGGATAATATGCTCTATGCAGCTGAATGACATGTTATGTTGTCCATCCTTGATTGTTGTGTGTTACCTGTATTGTTACATATCATTTACCTCTATTATTGGGTGACCGGTAGTTAGGCTTTTATTCCCACAACGGGTATTATTTATTTTACAATTAATGCTTGTGGTATTAAAAACATCTGTTATAATTAGAGGTATTGTAATACTATTGAAACTTAATTCTTATCTAACATCAATCAGGCCAGACAGCCAGAGTAGATCTCTACTAATTATTAAGACAAATGAAGTGACCATGGCCAAAAAAATAAGATGCTTGGTGTACTTGCACTGTGCAATGGGACTACATTACTGTTTTAGTCCTGCAGGCAAGAATTAATTTCTCTAATGAAATAATACATGTTCAATGATGACTTCCATATTAAAGAATAGTAATGTGTAAAAAAATAATTAACAATAATTAGTTATGCAATTATATTGAAATACAAAAAAAAAAATGTATATGTATACCCGTCAATTCTAGCTTCAATCCAGCAATCTCTCTTGCTTTAAGTAAATACTCCTCTACTTTTTGAATCCTTCCATAGATGAGGTATGCTTGTGCTATTTCTAAACATAATAATAACTTAATTCGAGGTTTATCTTGCAATTGTTGCATTTTATTTGAAAGCTTAGCTATTATGAGTTCAAGTTCAGCAAACAGTGTAGCACTTGTATCTTCTAATGCTCTTTGGTGAGCTACTTTACTTCGGAAGTTCCACCATAGATTTAACTGTGGATATTTAATTAAAATTAATTGTGTTTAAGTTTCATATTATCAGGGCTGTTGTATAACAAATTCGAATAGCATAAATATGCTGCTATATATGTAATATAGCATATATAGCATATATATGTAACTGCGTTTAACATGTTGAAATCATGCAGCCCACCAGTGGGCCATTCGGGCCAAACCAAAATCAGAGAATCAGTTTTATCAACTAGAGATTTTCTTTCTAAAATTTATAAAATCCACAGACGATAAAAATTTACAACTTTTACCGTCTAATTTATAAGATACTTTGAAAAGTTATAAATCGTGATAAAACCTACAACTTTCGATTGGATTTGAAAATGAAGGCATTTGGTTTGGCTAAATGAATACGCGGCTCTCTTCCATATGCATTTCGTTTGATAGCTGAAATCTGTGGCTTGTGTGGAAGTGTTTTTGTTGAAAGCCTCACATGGCTCACAGGTGACACTCATGGCCTGAACATCTCAGTAAGAAAGGGCTCACTGGTAAGCACCACGGCCTGAATGAAAATACTCAATTTTTTATGTGGCATTGAACTTGCTAAGTGATACTTTTACTGATATAATACTATACTTTTTGAAAACTATGTGTATTATTTTTGGTGTTTGTTATCATTATAACGTATGACAATGACAGTAAAACATTAGTTAAAAATTCAATAATATATTAGGTGTTATATCGGCAAAGGTATACTTACATAAGTTGGCTCAATACCTGATAGAGTACTAAATATTTGATCTGAAAAATACAATAACTCTGCATGCCTGATATTTGTTTGCAACGGTTCTGAATCTCTTTGCATTTTTTCATTAATATTAATATCACTTGGCCATTTATTCTTAAAAAAACAATTTATATCAAAATTTTCGGGATGCGGATTCCAGTTGTAGTCACAATATCTTAGTAGAGAAATTATAGCCATTTCCAGCATATTACTTGAATAATTTTCATAATCACTTTGTGTTTTTAGAAGAGATTTTAGTTCATCTGTTTCTAACCTTCTGGTAAATAACTCTTTACATAGGTTTACATCTTCTATACACCATTTATTACACCATAGCTTCTTGATTTTATCATCAACTGCAACATGTATAAGTATAAATGTTTATAATTCAAATATAAAAATAAATAAATTAAATGTTATTAACAAACATTTCCTTACTGATTGAATCAGGATTATCATCAAAGTTGCACAGATATAATAGTTCATGTGACATTTTTAGGAAGTCAATTGAATAAAAGAATATCTTTAAATTATCTAAAGAACTGATCACGAAGTTACAAGTTAAAAATTACTCTATCTCGAGTTTTTTTTGTTACAAGGATGTTTCATAAATCTTCAAATTTGTGTTTTATAACCTCAAATTACAAACATAGATAATATTCATTTACAATTCTTAAATGTTTTTTGCGATTTGTTCGCGACCACCTCGACTTTTAGCCAACTTGTTTTACAGACGTAATCATTAATCTCCTCAATAAATAATGGTATTATTCCTGTAATTGGCTTTGTAGGTGAATCTGGGAGGTTATTTTATAACTATATGTTCAGATATTTCATAAAATTTCTTCACACTTGTGGAATTTCGAATACTAAAAGTTTTATAATATTATTATATAATAATTCACAAGAAATCACTATTCAGGTATTTGTCAAAAACACCATTCCATTGTCTTCTGTCAATCATATAATTTAATAAAAACATGCTTTATATATAATCTTAAGCGAAAAGCACAAGCTGGCCGGGTTACATATTTTGGCCAACGAAACCTAATATACGTTAAATACTACCGCCCTCGTGCTGATCTAAGGCGAGTGATAAATGAAAGGTGTTCACACCCAGGATGTGAACCGAAATGTCAAAGATTCAGCTTTTCTTTCAAGCTATGGTCTATAGTCGGATTTTTAATTAGACGAAGCCAGCTGACAGTAGCTAATGTCACTTTGTGAAATAATGTTGCTATATTTAAAGTAATAGTGATGAGTTCAGTTCTCATTCAATCACATGAATGAACAATGAGTGTGAAGAGTTAATCATTAATTTCAAACTATAAAAGAATATTATTTATATTTTACAATAAAATTGTATTAAAGTGCTCCAATATATGTTACTAGTAGTATGTAACTACAATCAGTTTTTTTTTTATTTTCATTACTTACCTATAATTGTTATATTTTATACATCTATAGTTTCAACTATATGATGTATTGAAAATAGGACAGTCTTACAAGCTTCCTCGCAATGTTTTTCTTAATGTTTAAAATACTCGGTATTCAGTACAGGTAGATACTATAGGAACATAATATTTCGTCGAAAACTCGTTGGTATGTACAAAGCACGCCTAAAATTCGAACCCCGTACCCGATATCGGCAATTCGGCACACCAACTATTCACTAGACAATCGAGGCAATTTCATTAATTCAGGAGTTTTTTCAATTCACTTTCAGTCACTTTGTCACAACACTATTTTTATTTCATCAAAAACTGACAACACAGTAAACGTCAGTTGACTTCGTCTAATAAAAAATCCGACTATAAGTGGAATGTGGATGTCACATAGATTTATGCTGTGCCAGTTTGCATGCTTGAAAATTGCGTGGTACATGCTTGATAAATAAATTCCTGTTTTAATCAACAACATGATATTCGCTACTGCAAACCAGTGAAATAATATTAAAAAAACAAAAATGTATATAATAAAACCGCACGCATATGTAAGCATAAATTTGTAGTCTGTGAAGCTGTTTTTCGATTACACTAAAACCTGTAACTACTATAAATTATAACAATGTTGAAAATAATTTTAAAATTAAAAGAATCAGCATAGGCTAAAAAGATGATACTCTAATGGCCATCGAAATCTTTGAAAGAAAAAGTGAATTTAATCCTTGGCTTAAAGGTCTTAGTTACCAGGTCATAAAATCCCTTAAAAAAGCGAATATAATCAAAAAGAAAATGGCTGACAATGTCATTTTAGGTTAGGATAAGCAACATGATTTTTTAGTTAATGAAACAAGTGTCGTATATATTAAAATATGCATGAAATGGAATCAATACTAATCTTTATAACATCTGCTATGTGCATAACCTTAATATTTAAATTGATATATAATTTGCGGTAAGAATAAGACAGCGATATAAAAAGCTTTCCCGCCGATATCTTTACATTATTCTAAAATTAATATTTTGCATTTACAGGTTGTTATTGTCGTGGCGTGTTAATTGCTGGTTCTGCAACTCAAATTTCTGGGTAAAATTTATAGAACGCAACAGCTGGACTTGTCCAAAGTGTGAACAATATAACGGCTTCACTGAGGTATGGTTAATTTACCTACTCAGATAAAGTAATAGTAAAAAGTTTTTGATATATCGAAACAAAATATATCGCTATTGAAACCCTTATTTTCTTTTAAAAATTCAATGTGACTTAAATCTTAAACCTGTAAAGTATTTTTATGAAATTTGGCTATTTTCCAAATAATATTTTTAGTTCTAAAATATCGTCTTTAAAAAGATACATACAATATAAATCGGATGCTTTATATAGGATAGGTTTAGTGTAAAAAGGCGATAACTGTTCATAGGCCCTATTGAGTCTTGGCCTCTAAAACTACCACTGATCTTAATATAATTATAGTGAAAAATGTTAAATTAAATTGTAAATGTAGTTTTCATGATATCACTCTTCACTGTTACCAAGCTAATGTAATTGACTTAGCATTTGTGAAAGGTGACCTCACGAGCTATAAAATATTAAATTTCAGGATGGGGATTACAATAAGCCTATAGTCAATAATGTTGAAGAAACTCCAAAAACGCCAAAGGTATTTCAAAGGACACTACCTAACAATGGCTTGTGCAAAATGTGTAACATAAACCAGCAATTAAAGGTGACACAACTTGCCAATTTTGTACCAATGAATGAGAAGAAATATGATGAAGAAATTGAGAATTACAGGTTAGGAACACAGTGACAGTCACATTTAACTTACACTACTTCATTACTGGTGGTAGGACATCTTGTGAGTCCGCGCGGGTGGGTACCACCACCCTGCCTATTTCTGCCGTGAAGTAGTAATGCGTTTCGGTTTGAAGGGTGGGGCAGCCGTTGTAACTAAACTTGAGACCTTAGAACTTATATCTCAAAGTGGGTGGCGCATTTACGGTGTGGATGTCTATGGGCTCCAGTAACCACTTAACATCAGGTGGGCTGTGAGCTAGTCCACACCCATCTAGGCAATAAAAAAAAACACTAGATCCATTTTCTTCCATTAATGATTTTGACTAATTAATTTGTATTTGAATAAAAATTACCTAATTATAAAATAAAACATTGTGATGAATAAGTATTGTCCTCTCAAGTTTAATTTGTGTTATACAGTAATCACTAAAAGAAATATTAGATTAAGACAACTAACTAAATTCAAATAAACTGACTTACAGAATCTAGGTTGTTAATCTCCACTTTATCTCTTGGCCCATGACCATCATGGTAGAATACAGACACACCTGCTAAGCTACCTTCATATTGTATTGTGATGAATTCATTAAAATCAAACATAATTATCTATATTAGAAAATCTTGATCATATTTTGTTTAAGTATGGGTTTGTGTGTAGTTTGTTAATCTCATAACCTTGGATATGCTTCCACTCTGTGTTTGAATAATTGAATAAATGTAAAATATGATATCTTTGTTTGCAGGTTACAGTTAGAAAAAGCATATAAATTATGCAGTCCATGTAAAAGAGTAGTACAAATGAAATTAAATAAAGAAAAAGAGACCCTCTTAGGTTCCAAATTATTGGAACAGAGAACTCCCGAGAAGAAACAAAATAAAATTAATGAAAATCAACTTTTTAAAAATTTCATAAACAAATCTTCGACATTTATTGCAACAATACTTTTTATATTAGTTTGTACAGAATTCTACAAAATTATTAGTGAAATAGATAATTTATCCAGTACTATTAAAAATATTAGATTGATAATGACTGGCCTTCTAGAAAGATTATTTACAATTATGAAAATGAAAACAATTCAGACATTCCCCTTTTTAGAAAATTATGAAATTACAACATCTATGTATAGTTATATGCCGTTGCCAAATGTATTTAAGTACAAAGATATTGACTTTTGGAATATCACGACACAGAAGACACTGGGAGGGTTAGTATGTTCCATACAAATTGTTGGAAATATGTGGAATGTCAATACTATGAAATATACGATTATACTTGATGGACTCTGGTTAGTTTTCGTATTTATGTCGACAGCAGACCATGTACTTCTTGACCCACTGTACATATGTGGTGTTAAGGTGAGTGGCTTAAATTGATAATTGAAAATAAATACTTTGCCTTATTTTCTATTCAATGCTTATTGTCTGTCTTTTTTTTTCAGATGGCAAGTATTTTGATGATTTTGCTAGTTTATAAACAAATGCAAAGTAAAAAAATCAATAGGATAACCAAAGTGAACTTCTCACCAAAACAAGTGAATAACAGAGTTACATCAGAAAATGCATCCATGGATGAAGAAGATTCTTTTAACTTGGACACAGATGATGATGTATCACTTAGTAAATTTGGAATACCACATTTTACAGATTCATCAACTGAAACTGGTAGTCCTCTAAACACGTCTTTGATTAACGGCAGGTCCTTTACACCTAGAAGTGAAAGTTTGTGGACGAAACCAAACTTAAATTCAACTTTTTGTGTAAATTCTGTAACAAGTAAAAGTCCAACCTCTATTCCAGAAACTGTATTTGCCAAACCAATATTTAAAAAGTATCAAAAACTAGCAAAAGACGATTCCGACTCGGAGTTAGATGAAAGTATAAGTTCCTTGTGTATAGGTAGTCCTAGTAAATCGAAGAAAAAGACAAACTCTATATTTTCTCTACGTAAATTTGCTGCTACTCCAAGTTTTGTCGCTCCAAGGCCCGTGACAGGCGCGAGACCACTCATATCACCCAGCAAATTAGGTCATGGCACCTCTTGGGTAGCCGGTGGTTACTGGGGTGCCGAAGGTGAACGTATTACTGACTTGAACGGCAGTCGATCGTCGAGCCAAAGTTCTGGCTTCGAATCTCAGACGTCTAGCATGAATCAACGCAACTTGTTTTCGCAGCCGCCATCGTGCGAGGAGTCTGTCTGTAGTGAACCAATGGAACTCGATCGTTTCCCAAATATGAGTTTTTTTAGTAAGACGCAACCTCAATTTTTTCCCAGAATGAATTCGCCCATTTTTCCTCAAATGCAGTACAATAGTCACGTTCAAATACCACAAACTAGATTCGTTCCACCGACGAATTCTCAGAATAGTTTTATTCATCGGCCCCAGAGCCACGTTCATGTCTTCAAAACCCCCGGCGGGTCTGGGCTCATCAAGCTACCTCAAGTTGATAAGTTCACAACTCGCTAATCGCGGCTGTGTCTTGTTAGCCAATTTTTTTTTGTCTTCAGTTTATTGACTTTTCATTTCTATGTATTTTTTATTTTAACATGTTATTTTTATTCTTCGATACATTTTGTAAAGTTTCATAAACTGCCATTATGTTAAGTGATTTTTTTGTTATGTTGTAAGAATCGTTAGTCGTAAGCCATTAGTTGTAATGTTTGAGACTAAAATTAGTTTTAAGACTTGCTGATCTCGTGTTGGTGCCAGATATTGGCTGTATGAAAACATTAAGAATTATTATATTGTTACAATTTTTTTATATATGGACGTCACTGTCTGCTTCTCGAACAAAATGTGATATTGTAAAGACTAGTAAACACTTGCATAAATATGAAATGGTTCTTGATGTTATCATGATTTAGTTTTTGTCATCTTAAAACGAAAACTTTTTGTGAAACTCCTGAAATAAAATAATGGGAAAATGTAATGTATATGTTATTCACCGGCCTGGTTTTTTTTTCTATAATAATGTTAAGAGATTATTGCCGAATTAGAAATTATTGGTATAAATTATTAACACAAATGATTCAGTTAAACAAATATGAATACTAGTTTCAATAAGTTAACATTAAACCAGTAATGTAATTCAAAAGTGTCCCTGTTCTCACTTCTCCGTTGAACCTGTTTCTAATTGTGTTCCACTGCGTGACATGTAACCTAAACGGGTAAAAAATACCTCGAAAGAATATTTTTAATTTCACGTGAGAAATAACTTTTTCGCAAACGTTCCCAATACGTAATGTTTATCATACTAACGAATTTCGAGCTTTTCTTTCATTTCTCTGTAAGTATTGATGTCGATGTGGAGGAATGTACGTGTCTTCATATAGAGTTGAAATATAATCTGAAACATCTGTACAAGCCCACTCGTACTGCTTAAACTTCATTAAGCCCCATTCAGTCTTATAATCCTAATAAATAAATATTACAGAATTATTACATTAACCAAATTTAACATAAACCAAAGAATATAAATTATAAATTGGCAGCGTAAAGGATAAGGATAAAATCTAAAGAGTACTAATTTCAGTCAATAAATTCAGAAACCGATGATAACATTTTAATGTTAAATCATATATCAATTTTCAAATAAGCTTCCTTCTGCTGGGGAGAATTAATGACAAGCTTCGTCGGCAATTAATTAGCTTCAGCAATTCATGAGAAGTCGTCGTGGCCTAAAGGATAAGTCGTCCGGTGCATTCGTATTATAATCTTACTCTATGATTCGTATCGAGTGATGCAATAGTGTTCGAATCCCGCAGGCGGGTACAAATTTTTCTAATGAAATACGTACTTAACAAATGGTCACCATTGACTTCCACGGTGAAGGAATAACATCGTGTAATGAAAATGAAACCCACAAAATTATAATTTGCGTAATTACTGGTGGTAGGACCTCTTGTGAGTCCGCACGGGTAGGTACCACCACCCTGCCTATTTCTGCTGTGAAGCAGTAATGCGTTTCGGTTTGAAGGGTGGGGCAGCCGTTGCAAATATACTGAGATCTTAGAACTTATACCTCAAGGTGGGTGGCGCATTTACGTTGTAGATGTCTATGGGCTCCAGTAACCACTTAACACCAGGTGGGCTGTGAGCTCGTCCACCCATCTAAGCAATAAAAAAAAAGCTTCAAAGGCAGCCTTACTCATTATCCCTATTCTTATAAACCAATCTCAGGGAGAGAACGACAGCTGGAATTATGTTTTCTAAGATATGGTTGAATTTCAGACATTGCTGAAACGAAGAAAATCCGAACGAAATCTTTCTTTCACTATGCACTTTCTTAATATTATCTTAAATCTGAATTTACAAAGAGAATACTGACAAAACACTTCATTAAATCCGGTTGCGGATAAAACTGGTGTGCGCTTCTTTTGTAGTAGCGCTGTTCGGGACCACAGAGCGGCTTAGGAAGATGATTGTAGACGAGGTCGTTGGTTGTAACGAAGTTAACACAGGAATCGTGACTGTCGTGACGGATTATTGAATTTACATGACCCTGAAACCGTCAATTTTAAAGGTACATACAAAAATGTTCTAAGTCATTATCTCATCCCTACTAATATATAAATGTGAATGTAAGTTTGTTTGTTACGCTTTCACGCGAAAACTACTCAACCGATCATCATGAAACCTTGTACACATATTCTTGGAGGTATTAGAAGTAATATAGGATACATTTTATTAAGAAAAAAAAATTTTTTTTACGAAAAATTACAAAGTTGTTTGTCAAAAAATCTCAAAATCTAGCTTCTTCAACGCCATCTACCGGTTCAGTAATGAAGTTCCAATCCTGAGTGCTGTAAATGAAGTCACGGGTAAAATTTAGCGTTATGCCAAAGTAACTATTCCACGCGGACGAAGTCGCGGGCAAAAGCTAGTATTTGTATATTTCCGCGTTTAAGGAAATGAATTAGTTTAGTGAGTCCTTTCTAACTTGGCGTTGGCATCCGTTAGGCTGCTAAGACAAGTGTAGCCTTAGCAGTAAGAATATCCCCGGAATTTAATGTTTCATCTAACGGTTCATCGGCTGATGTTAACTCGAACTATTTAGCCTGTGTAGGGATCCGCACAAACTTAGTAGGTGGTTTTCAATAATTGTTTTTATTTGAGTATAGTGTAAAACATTGTGAAACCGATCGGTAAACTTTCACAGTACTTTCGTACAAGAGCGTTTCATATATGCAAGTGAGTAAGCAAGCTCTTGGACTATGTATTTCTCGGTGGACATCAGTCTCGTGCTCCCTTTGGACACCGAGCTTTGGACTCTTGGTTAGAACGTAGACATCAGAGCATGGATGCGGCCACCCATCTTGAGAACTTCAATGAGAGTCGAAGTTTCAATTGTATTCCAAATATAGATTGTTTCAAATGTTAAAACAGGAACGAATTCAAGGAAGACATAAGTATTTTTGGTACCCCTCTATCACAGGATAGTATTATGTAGTCAAAATTTTTCTTTTTTTTCTAGAAGTTTTATTCCTTTGTTCTAGGAATTGAACACAATTTATTTTTAAAAAGTTTACAGCCCAATTTTAACATCAATCGTATCAATGGTGAATACGAGTTCATCGGGCGTTCAACCTTTAGACGAATCAACAACCGTCACTCCACAAGATCATGAAAGTTTCCATTTTATTACATATTTAATTATTTGCCTTACCTGCAAACCGTAAAGTTTGTTTTGCCTGAAATCGGGCTGGCGGGACTCTGGCTTCATTTTATCATAGTCTATTTGGTCTTTCGGTGGAAAATATAAGGTACCTCTTTTGGGACACTCTATTCTATCTTCAACCCAGTTTCCTATTAAAATTCAAACATTATTTTGACTGGTGGTAGGGCGTTTTGGGAGCCAGTGGACTTAATGCGAGTTTTTTAACGTTCTCGATAGCGTAAAAGTTAACTCAAATTTGTGTGGAATTGGAACATTTGCTTACGTTTGCCGCTAGGGGCGCTGTTCCGACTGCATACTTTGAGTTAGCTTTTAGGCTACATATCTAGAACGTTAAAAAACTCGCACTAAGCACAATGAACGGTTAGGTACAAAAATCTTATTTCTGGCCAAGCCTTATTGCGTTTGGCTTGACAGGAAGCAGCCGCAGTGAGAGCAGTAACAGAGAGGTGTACAATAGAACTGAGACTCAGCTCATGTCTCAAGGTGGGTGGCGGCATTTACTTTGTTGATGTGTATGGGCTCCCGTAATATTTAACACCAGGGCGGTCGTAAGCTTGTCCCGCCCCAACCCTCCTACGCAATAAATAGATTATATTTTTTTTTGAGTAGAAATTCACTATTAATCTAAGAATAACTAAATTGAGATTACCGAATAGGGAAATTTATTTTATAAAGTACACTAACCGACTAAGAACATTAATATATTTATTGAAATAATATCAAAGATGGAAGATTTGTTTGGAATCTCTTAGTAGAAGTAGTCCACTGTAGCTTTTTAAAAACAACTTTACCTAAAAGTACACGAGTCGTATATACTGGTCCAGGTTTCAGTGCTGCAGCGATGGCTTCTGTGCGAGTCGGTGATTTCGCTCGGGTATTTATCGTTGTCATTTTTAATTATTAAGCCGTAAATTTTTTGATTATAAATTTTGTATAACTTAGAAATTGTTTATCTTAAGTTGATTAAACGTAGCGATCGTATTAACGTTGGTCAAATGACAGGTTTATTTATGAAGTGTCCTGTCTATGTATGCCAATACGACAAACTAAATACTTTACTCTTTGCGACAAACCTATAATGATAAACTACTTCGTATTCAACGATGCACTTAACTTAGACGTTTTATTTACTTGTACCGCAGAGACCAGCGTCGTTGGTCGACGACGTCCTCGGGGTGACGCTGCAAGTCTGGTTGTAGTGTTGACCACGGGAGCCCCCCTACTCTGTCCAGGTTGTGACTCCGGACGGAGATCGGACGTCAATTGTGGGTGGGTGTACAAAGTCGTTTGGTGCAGTAGTGCCCTAAAAATATCCTTGGGAACGCGGTCTGCTCCCAACATCTGCAGACCGTGAAGTCCCACTGTGGGACCCCGCGTTCCCGTTAGGCACGAATCCATACCGAATACTAAGACGTTTGTTTACTTACTTATTTTTTATAGCACATTTGATCTACTCAAGGTAGCTGGCGAAGATTTCGTATTAAAATAATTATCGAAGTCCAGATATGAAGGCATCACAATGTGAATTCGATAAGTCATCGTGGCTTAAAAGATAAGACGTCCGATGCATTCATGTTGAGCGATGCAGCGGTGTTCGAATCTCAGGCGGGTACCAATTTTTCTAATGAAATACGTACTTAACAAATGTTCACGATTGACTTCGATTAGATAGGTGGACGAGGTCACACCTGGTGTGAAGTGGTTACTGGAGCCCATAGACATCTACAACGTTAATGCGCCACCCCCCTTGAGATATAAGTTCTAAGGTCTCCAGTATAGTTACAACGGCTGCGCCACCCTTCAAACCGAAACGCATTACTGCTTCACGGGAGAAATAGGCAGGGTGGTAGTACCTACACGCGCAGACTCACAAGAGGTCCTACCACCAGTATGAGCTAGTCGTTCCGATAGTAATCCATTTGAGCTTGCTGTTTTTTTTTATAATTGTTCCCATTCAGTGACGATTAACATTATTGGGTTTTTAGAGAACCTACAAATTGTATGATGAATAACGATAAAGATTTTGAATTTAGTTAATACCATTTTAAAGTTACAAAAAAATTATTCAATAATAGTCATTTAACATTTAGTGTATGAATATTTTTTACTAGTAGGAAAACATTTATTTATTACGGCCATGCTTTATGTACACGTAAACAAGACATGGTTGATCAACAGGAAGGTGGTGCCTTAAGCATGCTGTCACATCCTTCACACAGCGCCATGCCGACCTATCTAGAGTGTTCGATCTGGTTGCATGTGATTTACTATGGAAAAAATTAGAAAGTGAAAAACTATTAAAAAAATAATTTATCTTTAAATTTTGGTGCAGTGGCCAGACAAACTTTCTACTTGCATTTGAAAGATAAATATATTATTCTTATTGAAACTACTCCGGCGCCACTTTGCGTACTTTTATGGTAGTCTAACAGAAATACTCGTCCGTGCGAAGCTGGAGAAGCCCGTTAGACTACTTTTTTTTCTTTCTTAGCTATGCTGGTAGCCTAGGGGGCTATGCCAGTGCAGCCGGACGAGTAGTTGAGTTCACGGAGCCCTAACCTGAGTACGTTGCTAATCACTAGTCCTAGCAAGAGCGTTGCTTCGCAGAATCTTCACGTCATCTCGGATCCTCCCGATCCACCTAGGTACCTCGAGCACCGGTCACCGTTCTCGTCGAACCCGTTGCTTGCGACGAAGGGCTCAACGAGTAAACTAACTCTCAGACACAGCCCACTGAGTTTCTCGCCGGATCTTCTCAGTGGGTCGCGTTTCCGATCCGGTGGTAGATTCTGCGAAGCACGACTCTTACTAGGGTTCGTGTTAGCATCGTCGTCAGGTTTGAGCCCCGTGAGCTCACCTACTAGTTACGGTTACGCTGGAATAGCCGCTCCAGGCTACCAGCTTAGGTAGGAAAAAAAAAAAAAAGCAGAATCTACCAACGGATCGGAAACTCGACCCACTGAGAGCATCCAGCGATAAACTCAGTGAGCCGTGCCTGTGGGTTAAATAACTCGCCGAGCCCTCCGCCGCAAGCGACGGGTTCGACAAGAACGGTGACCGGTGCTCGAGGTACCTAAAAGCTCAGATAGTGGATCGGGATGATCCGAAACGACGTGTTTGAGGCAATGGCGACTGTTTACCATTCGGTCCGCAGGATCGGGTAGTTCTGTGAAGAATCATCAAGAACTGTAGTAATTTGCATTACAATTGAATGTATGATTTAGGAATACACAGAACACAAAAATAAACACAGTTTTACTTTTACACTAATTTTTATTTACATAAATTTAAAATAAAGAATATGGATTAAGCTTATCACTATACATTCTCTCAACACTATTATAATTTTTTTTTTTTTTAATTTTTAAGAATTCAGTCTTAGTTTGAAGACTTGATTTTTATCATAGAAAAACCAAAAAGTCCTTTTTTGGCTTTGTGAAGATTTGCAATAAATTAGATTTGACAATGAAAATTTATAATTTATAAATTTCAATTACTCATTCAGTTTCCATTGCTGTATTTGTATTCGGCTTCGGTAACGAGTGGAGTACTGCTGAAAGTTGACTCTCTAAAGGACCGGCATGTTGTATTAAATTTTTCAAATTGTTTTCAATCTGCAGAATGTCTTGATTTATTAATTCCAATTTCTGAAAATATACTAGATTGTTATTATTATTCAAGTTTTCAATAAGTATTTGTTCCTCAAACTATTTTTTTATGGTTATGAAATAATGTTGAGATAAAAATCAAAGTTGTTCACAAGTTTTTAATTGAATTTAAACAGTATGGTAATTTGTAAAAACCAGGATTAATAATTATGTTTTTTTTTTAATTGCACTTATTATTTACTATTGATATTTTTAACGTAGCAATTTATTAAAATTGCCTTTACAGTAAATGTTTTAGTAAAATAATAGATATAATATTTTAGACTGTACCTCTAAAACAGATGTGTACAAGTGTTTGAAACTTTTATCACTGTATCGGACGAATCCGCTCACATTTGATTCGGAATCTGATGGTGCCACTGATGTCATGGTAAAAAATGATAGTCAGAAAATGAAAAAAGCTAAAACTTGAAGCCTTTTTACCTAATTAATGTTTTTGAAAATAATTTTAACTGTCGGCTGGCCGCCATAGACTTTTAAATTTTCATTTGATTTGCTGAATTGATAGACAAAGGTTTGTGCGCCCGTAAGCTCTTTAAATTGTAAGGCAGAAGCTATGTAATGAAAAAACAGTAAAATAATGTTAAATAGACTTAACTCTTAGTAAATGTTTGTGAATTTACTAACACTGCGTTAGATTGTTTCGTAGAAAGTGAAAAACGATGGTAATATATTTTATCCATTTTCCAGAGTTTAACACATTGTCAATAGCTTCCAAACGGATTTATAAATATGTCATTCATTTGCCTTGGCGTTTTTAACTAAATACGTCTACGTTATAAATAAAAAGAAAACATAAGCTCGGCAGTGACAAATTGTCAATTATAAAGAAAAGCGGTTGGCTCTGAGCCATAGAGTTACTATGTTGTAGGTACTTAATAACTCCATGCTCTGAGCACTGCTCTGAGTGATAGTTTTGTCTTTTTGGTAATGGTAACATGAAACTACCGCCTTCGTATCTATTGTAGGTATTATCTATGTTGTCAGTTGTAAACAGTAATGTCAATGTCGCATGCTGCGGTAAGATTTGTAGGTACTTGAATTTGAATTAAATTGGAATCTCGCCAATTTCTTCTCCGTAATTTTATCCATAATAAAATGATAGTGTTTGGTGGAAAATTCGTGTGAGAAGACAGTTAAATTATATGTGCGAAGTGTATGTGGTGTCCTTTGTTATTCTTTTTAATTCAATCGATCCTATTTTCACCCATCGCGCTTTATATAAATTTCTTTATCAACATTTTATTCATTAAATAACTACTTTTTGTTTAATTTAATAAAGATATCTTGCTAACATCATAGTGTATATAAATTTCAACTCACATATTAATAAAATTTTGTTGTTTTTTCGATCCTAGCTAATTTCCTGCTATTGAAAAAAAATAATGAAATATTAGTTATTGGTGTCTAATCTTTTCTGAATATAATTTTGAGAAATATACGGCTTCATTCTCTTAATCACTTGAAACTTGTGCCTATGAAAAATTTTTTTTAATCAATTTAAATGACTTAACCAACTCCACAGTCTAACTGATGCTAAATGTCAATGGATTATATAGATGCCTCAACGTCAATGGTGCTACTTATTTAGACAATAGATTGCAGTCTCAGTTGATTTTTTTATTTGTTCATGTAACTCATAGATGATTAAAAAACTCCCAGTCGACCAGCTAAGTTGTAGTCACAGCTCATAAACATCACAATGTAATTACCTCCACCCATCTTGAAACATGAGATCTGAGTCTCAGGCTCACAACCGATCTACCCTTCAAACCAGAATACATAACAGTTTTGGAGCAAAATGGCAAGATTGTGGAACCTATTTGTGTAGACTCAGAACGTGCTGTGCTCCTAGTAATTGACATAGAATGAATTGCAGTATAATATCCTGCCTGAATGGGATGGCAATGCATGATCGTTAGAACGAGATAGGAAGGTCAGTGCTACCAAGCTTTACAGGCTCACAACGTGTTCTAGATTTGGTTAAAAAAGGTCAGGGCTATTATGAACTGATGATCAGAAAGTAATAGGAGTAGCTTAAGGAGACTAGTGTTGCAATTTATTATTTTCTTAATCAGCCAGACACATAAATAATCATATGATCATCTGGCTTAAAATACATCTGAAAATTTAACTATAATGTTTACACTATTATGTATAATAAGTTTCAACAACATCACTACTGCAGCTAATAATTTTAGTGTTGGTCAAACTAACTAAAAT